TTCCTGCAGCGGAACTGAGGAAACTGCCCCCTGTCACGCTCTCGACGGACCTAACTTGTTCTTAAAGAATGTATGATCATTAGGGTTAGTCGGTACCCTAACACAAACCCTGACCCTTAAGGCTGCTTGCAATTTCAGCTCTATCGTAACGTGGCTAAGCGTTATAGACAAACGTATAAATAACGGCTATACAGATCGAGAGAATTAGTTCATCTTACCTGAACAAGCGTGGAATGCTCATGTGGAAATGAGGAAAACTGCTAAATTTTTTCAAGATATAGTCGGCGCAGTTTTTGATTTGTTGGAAAAATCCCGTGATTAAGAATACCTTAAGGCCCAAGTTAGTATATGAAATAATTCTTTTTCAAAAACGCAGTTATGAATAGGTCCTCTGCAACTGTGATCTAGAAACAGTTTGCATATTAACAATTTCTGGAGGGTAGGAAAAGGTGCTGTGCGTTGCTTCACTCCTTTGTTTACATATCCCACAGCTCCCCACTCACTTATTGTTCTCACCTATTTTGGCCTATATACTGCAATGAGTTGCCGCTATATACGTGTATAAAGCACATGTTTTGAAAATATCTGTCAAAATATTTGTGCTTTATATAGCAACGGCGCATTTATACGGAAGCACCTTGTCTTAGTGATCGAGTGTGTCGAGTTACACAATTTTACACAGCGACTTCATCCAAATAACAACGTAGCTATTCAGGCTAGAAGTTTCCCAATTTAGTAATGTTAATGAATATAGATCATTCACGTTAATTTCACGTCTGAAAACTACGAAAGAAAAGAACTATATACATAATATTTATGGAGTAAAACTTGAACTGTCCAGTAATTTGCTAGCGAGGTCACGTACATGCATGAGATCTGATTGGCCACGGAATGTTAAAATTATTCGTAGGATTGCAGACGATTCAATTTTATTGACTTGTAGGAAAAATAACGACAGGTGCTGTTTCGAGAACAGCATTTCGTCAAGACAGAATTTCGAGCAGAATTTGGGAATTATTAGAAGCTGAATTGAAAGTCGCCAGGAGAAGAAAAGATTAACAACATATATTGTCTGAACAACACTGTATAAAAAATAAAGAAAAGGTAAAAATACAATTATATGTATTCACGAACTAAAATTTATTTATTAGAAAGTCTTATTTGCGCTTTATACAGCATAATTACATATATGACTATATATAGACAGGCCAAAGTGATCATAAATTACGTGTATAGTCCAATTTTGTGTTAATGCATGCCCGCATTTCTTTCACAACTTGGAGTCATTACATTACATGATTATTTAGCTTACTCCTCATATGGGGCTTTTTGGTGACCGATTACTTCAAGTAATTCGTTTACCTATGATACATATATACTCGGCCCAGAATACTTTTTACGAAAATTGTGATATTAGTTTCCTAACTGTGCTTATCCTGACCCTCCATGCCAACTTGCCCTGTGAGAGGACGTCGGAGCGCCAGTAGAAAACCGACGACTTTCGGCAGAGTGCTGACAGATTCATTACATATGTGAGTCCAAAGCGAGAATCGAACCCACGATTTCGGAGGTGAAAGGCACTTCCTTTGCCGACTGTGCCACCATATTAATCAATAAAAAACATGTCCTATGTAGAGTGTCCTTTGGGGATAAAATGGGAACTGGAATTTGTCTGTTAATATTGAGCTGGGAAAATGGGTTATGACTTACTAAGACTTGGGAATAAAAAAGAAGAATTTTCAACTTTTGACAAAGAGCATGTTTGTCTAAAAATGTCCGTGATGTGTGCATTCTGCTATTTTCCGGTGGAGGTCATTGCTCTGCTATTGTGAATCCATTATTCACTTAATATGTGACAGAAAAGTATAGGTACTTATAGACTGTAAACATTTTACTTTATGAAGTTATTTCTAAGGATATCAACGAAATAAAAGCAGTATATAATTATACGGAGTGTTTTAAAAGTCAACACGCATTATAGGTGGAACACCTGCTCAGGGATATTCTTTTTGTTGAAACTGGGATTTTGTCAAAAATTAGATGGCATTTAGAAAAAGGCCCTGCGTATATTAGATAAAATAGTAGTGATATGATATCAGGTATTTAGAAGGTTTTTGTAAAAGGAATTTCGAACAATGGTCGAGACCTAACTGGAAGCATTTGCGGAAAATGATATATTAATATATAGCTACCAGAACCATTTTTTATTGTTCTCGGTCAGTTTTGGTTTCCGACTAAATACCAGGTTCCGAAGGATGAGCTGAAAATGTAAGACCTGGTATGGATCTTACATATGAATGTAAGACTCGGTACATTCAAGAACTGGCATAATTCTTTAATTTGGGACTTGAATTTGCAACAAAATTCGATCCTCACATCTACCTTTCGACTAGGAGACTTTGCTTGTCTCTCAGCCGTGAAAGAGGCAACAACCGTGTACGTCAGAGCCCGTCAAACTCTACCACTTGGAATATATCGTTCCAACCTCGTTCCCCGAACCTGCGATCCTTGAGAAGGAAACAAAGGCTTTGAGATGATCCGAATCAGACATACAGAAAACTGTATGTCGACCGAACTGCGCATGCGTTGGCAAAAGCAAAATAAATTGTTTGAAATATTTTATTGTTTCGTCTATAAAATGATTGTGTTTTCGGGGTTTTGGCGGAAATGTTGATGTTCTTCATAGTGGGATACAAAAGGTATGTTAGCGACTTAATAAGGAAAATATTGCGTGTGAAACAGGGTCAGTATAGAGCAGTGGCGAAGCTGAGGGAATTCGACTAGTCATGCTCTAAGACCCGCACAGGCTAGGGGGGTCCGGGGGCATGCACCCCCGGGAAAATTTTGATTTTCGAAGTCTGGAATGGCCATTTCCTGCGATTTCAGGGTGAAATTCATGCAAAGAAAGCTACAAAAAAGTGTGATATAAAGAGGAAAATTCTTAATACTTTTTGTTTTTGAAATTTGTATTTCCACAAAATTTAATTTTATTTCACTATATATTTAAACTTATCTGCAAATGACGCTCAATATAGCCAATATTGGCAGAAGAAAGAGGAGAATATTGTATGTGTACATTTTAATACCCTGCTGAGTGCTGTAATATGATCTTTCATTTGGAATTGCGTAAAGGTCAACTGTAATGTACAGTGTCTACAAGGACCTTGTAAATCTGAAGCAGAAACCTAATGTTGAAAGATACTTTGTTTAGATATTTGGTATATCTGTAAACCTCAAAATATATAAGCACTCGTGAATAAAGCAAATGAACTGGTAGTAAATATATTTATATCAATAGGAAAGGCCTTCACAAATCTTGTTTATATTCGCCATTATAATACAGTAGAATACACAATCGAGTCTGTTCACATGCATTTCGTGAACTAAAATATCTTGTTAGAAGCCAGAAGGCCTTCCTACTATTCACTCGATTGACGTTGGTCAATTTCCATAGATACATAACCAAGATCACTTGAATGAATCTCGATAGAATTGCTGAATAATTTACGGCATTTAACTTGGTCGTGCTTTCGAAGATGAGCACGACCAGAAGATAAAATTCGGCGAGATACGCATGCGCGAGGAGCAATTTAGCCAATAGAATGCGTTGGAATTGATATTTTAGTCGTGCTGGCCTGACGAGAGCACGACTAACGGGCGGGTTACCCATTAGTCGTGCTATTAACCTGCGGTCGGGTGAAACTACGCAATCATACCTTGAATTGGTTTAAAATCATGGCAAAATCACCGGATTTGAAGGGATTTCGCACTTAATAGATGACGCAAGTGTACGACGAATCATTTTTAAAATTTTGGGGGAATTTTTTTTAAGACTAAAAAATTATTTTCTTTGAAAAAATTTTACTCGTGCTCAGCAAGACTAGCACGACCTCTAGCTTCGCCACTGGTATAGAGCCCGCAGGAGCCGCGAAGAGCGTTGTTGTCGAAGAAAAATGTCACAATTAATTGTAATTTTGTCCATTCACCTCTGTTTGAAAAAGCTTTAAATGTGGAGACATTTGTGGTTCGGCTCCGGCATAATTTACCCGTTTAACGCTATTGTGTTTCTAATGATTGAAAGAGCGCGTGGAAAGAGCAATTTAAGAACAAAAACAATTACAATGTACTGTGTGTTAATAATTGCTACTGTAGTATTAAAATACCTGAAAAGTGTCTCAATTCTAAAATTAAAGGGTATTGGCAACAAAAATTGCTTCATCTATCTTATTGCTTCATCTGAAAGAGCATGAAAAAATAAGCCGATTGGCCGTTTAATGCTCTATTCTATCTCATCTAGTTCCGAAGTTATACGCAAAAATGTGAAAATATAAATTGCTGATTCAGCACAACGTGTGACGTCATTAGCTGGGTAAGTATGTTTATTAACTATAGTCAGTGATTAGGTTGCTATATCAGTCACATTGTACAATACAATATAAACTTTGTTTAACGAGGGTAACACCAATTACAAAACGTAGCCTATTCTCCCTAGTGGCCCTCAAAATAAATACAGCAATATGTTATTGTAAAGAAAATTATGTACTTGTAAATAAAAATAAAAAGTTTATAAAACACACTATTAATAAAATAATAAATTTATATATGAGTTAATATAATCTTTGAACTTTGAAATTGTCAACTGTGTATTTGGAAAAGAGGATATGGTGCAACTTCGAATTCATTACTTTAAATGTACTTTAAATGTGACTTTAAATGTACTATTCTTCTCTTCACCCAATGTATTCCAATGTTTTAATGTTGAATAGAAAAATGTTCTTTGCAGTTGATTGGTTTTAGGCTTCGGAAGACGATACTCAATTTTTGTTCTCAAACTGTATTGACTTTGGAATCGGAAAGTTGCTAATTTCGTTGTTAGATATTCTGGAGCTTGACCATTGATAATTTTTCGCAAGAGACAAAGTTTTTTTAATAACAAACACCTGGTCGATTGGGAGCCAAGTGTATAGTAAACAATTTGAACTTATAGAACAAGAAATAAATTACCGCTCAAACTTACCCTGAGTTAAACTTGTTTTGAAACTTATCCATTCACTTGGCATTCCTTCAGTTTCTTCGCTGAGCCCGACGACTGAAACTCTGTAGCTCGTATTCGACAAAAGATGGTTTATAGAAACGGACGAACTGCTATTTGATACTTTGATAGTAAAGAAATATGTCTCGTTTATAACAGTGACTATATAGCCAGTTACTCTATCGTATTTTTCTTCTTGTCGTTCAATTACACTCCATTGGACAATGGCAAAATTTGCCGAAATACTGGTCATCTTCACGTTCTTTGGAGCGGGAATTACATCTATAGGTAATAATTCAATATTATGTACTGTATATGTAGAAATGGAATTTGAGGAATAAAACCAACAAGATTTACAATCTATATGTCGTAGCTTTGTGATAGTTTGTTTGGTGGACGAAAGTTTGGAAGGTGTTTAACTCTAATATAGTTAGATAAAACCAACAAGATTTACAATCTATATGTCGTAGCTTTGTGATAGGTTGTTTGGTGGACGAAAGTTTGGAAGGTGTTTAACTCTAACATAGTTAGAACAACTGAAATGTAGGTCGCTGTAGTATCTGGAAATCTGCTGTACTGTGGCTTTGCCCAAAGCTGGAGTCATCTGAAGATCCTACTTATCTGTGATGAAGCTGTTGGCTGTGAAAAGTTCGAGTAATCCAAATTCAATTATCGTTATTATAGGCATTGTTGCATTGGCTCAGCTGCAAATAAGGATGATTAGCACAACCCTATACTCATTCGTTGACTTACTGACAGAAACACACATGCATGTACATCAACTTCAGGATATATCACATGATAGATGCCTTTGATAATTGTCAGAAAAATTCTCATTACGAGGTCACGTTTTGGCAAGGGTAGTGCTAAGTGGCTATTAAAGAATAAACCTAACAAAAAATGCTAGCCTTAAACGTTAAGGTGCTATAATGTCTTATTTAAGACGAGATTTCTCCTCTTCTGGTTTTCGCAGGAGCCTTCAAAATAAGATATTTCGCATCTCGAATAGTCAAGTTACAAAACCGTGTTCGCATTTTCGGCATGTTTTGTATTTATTTAGATACAAACCAGAGTAGATAAATCCTAATTCAATTTCGGGCAGCACTAGTTAGAAAGTTGCGCATGAATGGAAAAATATTGCATTAATTCAAGAATCCAAACACATTTTTGCTCCTTTAACAGCGTCCTACAAAATATTAAACAAATTGAACAAATTGATATTGAACAAAACGCAAGCTCTGCATTTCTGTATATGTAAAGAGAATTGGTGAAAATTTTGTGCGGAGAAAAAGATGATAAACGACTTGGCCTGGTTTTAGCAGTGTCTGCCATCTGCTCCTCCTACTTCGCTAACACTGCGATCGTATTTCGCGTTAAGCCAATCAGTTTCAATTGTTTTCAGACAAACGCACACAAACCCGATCAGATCAGGTCAGGAATCCGCAGAACTCTTAGCTTGGAAATTCCAGCCGAAAATAAAGGAAAGGGAGTCAGGGAAACATTGAAAGAAATGGTAACGAAACAGTTTCGAACTACAGGTGCATTCATACCGCTTTATAAATTTGACTACGCCGTATTTGCGTGTAAAATTCACATCACGGTCGGATTGCTAAGTGTTGACAATGGTAATTACAACTTTCGCGGCAAAAGTCTATAAGTAGCTCTATATCGCTGTTGCGTTTCAAAATTTCCAAAAAAACAAATTGCGGAATTGGAAAACGATCTCCATTTTCTTGGTATATCTCCATAAATATCTTATAAATTCGGGATTTTATCATATAATGAAACCTTAGAACAACAGAGTGAACAATAAATCTCTGCTATGTTACTGCATTTGAGCTCATAAGAATTCACTGAGTATAGCTGCAGTATTACTATAATGATGTACAGGAAAAATTGGCGCAATACAACACTACCCAATGTTGTGTATTCCAGAATTCTCCCATCGTCATACTGTGTAAATCCACTTATACAGTTATCATATATTCCGATTTACGAATCAAATGTGGTAACACAACATTATTTGCGTCATTTGCCAAAGTTATATTCAATTTTCTGTATTTGCCAATCAATACCACTTTATATCCCAGTAATGCACTATGAATTGTCGTGTTTTCAGAAATACTTTCCCATCCAATCCAAGATTTTCGTGACGTTACCTTGTTAAGGTAGATATGCTTTGGCTTTGGGAGTTTGTCTTTGGGAGTTATAGTGTGTTGTTAAATGCATGATATTGTGGAAATGTAAATATAGAGCGTTTGTACTCATTCCCCAGTGACCAACTCAACAAAAGCCATAGTGGCCATGTTGGCGTTCCAGATGAAAGAGAGACACTTTTTCTACTTTAAAGACTTTTTTCTACTTAAGTCTCGATATAATTGTTTTTGCAAACTTGAAAAAAACCCCAACATTTCGCGCACTCCCTGCAAACGCGCGAAATTCCTTGCTGCAGGAGTCTGACAATAGCCATGCATAATGCCCTTATAATTCCGCCATTTTGTGGAGACAAAATTTTACTTAGAAAAGGTAGGAGCACGCATTCTATGTCTATTATTTCTATGGATTGCACGTACAGAGCAAACGTTGGCTCAAAACTTGAGGATGAGGTTGTAAGTGCATGGTTATACGGTGCATTACAATTAAATATGGAACTTTTAAATGCAAGAAATTCACCATTTTGCTAAAAGACCGCATAGAAATTACGGACTATGTCTTTTTGAGGCTTTAGGAGCACAATTGCTTCCAACGGTACTAATCTATTTTCTTTTACCTGGTAAATAAAACGAGGGAGCTCCTATTGCTAGATCACCCATCTTGTTTAATGCTTGAATCTTTACTGTGTATCTTCTGCCCATTGTTAGGTTATTGAATGTAACACTTGATCTGTTGTATATTCTCATTGTTTCATTGTATTCTTTTCCACACTTCAAGGAAACATTATAGACAAAACCAGAAAGGAAATTGGTATTCATATCTGGATGCCCAAGCCAGTGAACCGTTGCTGTGGTTAATTTCACATTTATGACTAAAATGTAGAAAGAAAATAACAATAGTAATTTAGTGTGATATATTTCATTCTCCATGCGTGTTTGAGACGTCATTTTGGGCCAGAAATCATTGTTTGTCGATAACTAATTTACGATTATTGTGCCAGGTAATAAATCTTAACATTAAATTATATAGTAAAACATATAATATAATACTTTTATTGTATTAGAGTTTACTAATTATAATTGCATATCTAATTTTAAGAATCATTTATCACTGCACATTTTTGTGCAAAGTTTAGCTGAGCAGAAGCAACGCCCTAAAAATTTCTGAAGACTGCCTTCTAATAATGTGTAACCACAAAAAAAAATATATTATAAAGCCAACATACCCTGATATTAAAAAGCCAACATACCCTTTTCTCGAAGGGAAATTTGGGGACCTAAGGCAAAATTTGACTTGGAGCCCTTCATGAATCTTGAGGCTCAAGAAATGGCAAAATCCTGCATTCTGGAAGTCTGGTAACAGCTATATCTACGTATAATTTCACTGTAATTCTTTATTTTGGGCCCTTCTTTAACTGGGGCGCCAGAGAAAATCAGCCCCCTTCATGCACGCCTCTGTGTGGACGCCCTTGACATCACCTGCAGTTATGATTATCTCTTACATGATATCGTTTCATATTTACATGCTTGCAGGAAAGAAATATTTTAGGCGTGACAGAGCTCCACAGGAGTTCCAGGGGCATGCTTAAACAGAAGATTGTACATTCTAGGTTCTCTAAAAGGGAATTTACTGCAATGTACGGGAACATTCAATTTAATTCTGAATATTATGCACTAATTACAAAATGTTAAGTATCATTCACTGCAACTTCAAAGGTCATATATATAGAGATCTTTCAAATGATAGGTTTTATTTGTTCGTCTGATGAACAAGATGATAAGAAGTTGCTCTATGACCATAGAGCGTTAACTCGCTATACAAATGCATGCACTTATATATTACTCTATACGGTACTACAATCAATTAATGGGCAATTGAAGTGTTGTCACCTGACTCGTGCAGCAAAATCTGTAACTCTTCTTATATAAAAACATATATAGCAGATACGATTAGCATACCGCTCTTTGTTGTTGATTTAAGCTTGCAATTGCTACTGTTGGTTAGCGGTGGGATGTTACTAAGGTTGCATGACTACCCTATGACCAACATACATGCAGTGTACTTTTAAAACTTGTGTTTGACGAGTTCTGATCTGTGACAGTCTAATTTTTCTTTCAATAATAAATCCTTTTACTTTCTATTGTATTTTGGTTAATAAGGCAGGAATGTTAGGAATGCAAGGTAGGGAAAACCTTTTCAGAATCATTGATCACATGCAGTCATTCACCTTTGCATGTTTACTTCTCACTTAACAGGTAAAATCCTCCGGTAAGGGTAGTTGGTTGCCTGAAATCGCAAGAAATTTCCCAGTGATACCTATATAAGACTTGGTCATAATTAAGGAGGAGTTGCAAACAGGTGATTTGATTAAGTAAAACCTTAAAAGCGTCATTTTACAGGCTTACCTTACGTGTGAATAATAAACTATTTTTAAAATTAAGTTCATAGTAAAACGATATCAATGTTAAATGTTTTTAAGCCACTATTTCTGGAAGTACTTGGTTTTTGGGAAGAGAACAATTCCAATCTCATAAGTATATATGTGCTTTCTCATACTTTCCATCTGAAATAAAATTAAAATTACCCCAGTGCCTTGATTCAAGATGCTTCCCGGTCTTGGAAGTGAAGGATTTATATTGTAATAAAGTCTTGTGTTGTCCTCCTGCCCCAAGTATAATGGGCTGTTTGCACAAATAGTACCCACAGGGAGCGAGAGGAAATGAAGCATGCCTGTATCCTATGACTGTATCCCCTGACATGTGGTTTGAAATTACTTTCATGTTTAACAATCTGGGTTTAATTTCAAGTACCTTTCATTTGGCTTAATTCTAGAATTGCCACTCACGAGTTTCATAGCTGAATTATTTATATGCAAACATTTCCTCCCTCGGGCATAGGCACATAACTCTTCCAACTCGTTCTTCTTTATGGCCGCATTGCTTTCTACTCCACACGTCAAGATTGCATTAAAATATCATGCTTGCCGTTCAGATCGCGAAGTTTCACACCAGTGTAGTGATATCTATGCTTCATAAAATTGGCCCTGTGCATCGCTATCCAATTATTTCTGTCTTTGTATGACAAAGATCAAATGTCTGTTATATTTCAAAGTTGCACTAGTTTCTACAAAGGTCAACATAATGGTACTTACTTGCAACGTACAATGTGTAGACATTCTCTGAATACATTTCATCCATCTCATTCTTGACAACACACTGAATATGTAGCGGAAATTTCCTATCAGTAATAACAATTTTTGAATTGACAAGATATGAATTTGTTCCATTTTGGACGTCTGCTAGTTTGGTATCAACCACAGCATTTATCGCCTTTTCAGTACTTGTGTCATCGATCAAAGAACCATTTAACAACCACGCCACATTAGGCTCAGGAATCCCTGTGCCTGTGCAGGTCATTTCCAGTTTCCTGTCATCGTATTTAAGAGTCGGAAATAAACGTGAAACATGTGGAGCTACAGGATCTGGAAATATGGTATTAGCGTTAATGTTAGGGAGAAGTTCAGTTATACCCAATTAGATCAATTAATCTGTGTCCTTCTTTAGTATTTTTGTACAAGTGAACATAACAAATCTTACAAGGTGATTGGTCAAATTTGACGTATTAATCTGTTATATTCACCTACAGGTGAATATAATGCGATCGAAATTTTCAAATTGGCGGCTAGCCGTTTTGTTGAAGTTAGTAGTGATAAAGAAATTAAAATGAATTCAGACCAGAAAAACACAAAAGAACTTGTGCAAAAATATTAAAACAATTATTCGCCTCAGGCTCGGTGATTATCGGGGAATAATCACCTCGACTTCGTCTCGGCGAATATTCCCCGATAATCACATCTCCTTCGGCGAATAATTGTTAGATAATTAGACTTTGTCAACCATGTTCTCAACAGTGTTCAGGGGCGAACTCGAGTATTCGAGAAAATGGGCGAATACTTTATTTTGACGTTTCCCCTTCGAAATAGTTGGACCTGTATCCTTTAGATCATGACTAAAGGTAACATACTCCTAATATTGACGTAAAGATCTGCAAGAAATCTTTAGTTTTCGAGGTTTTATTGATTTGTTCCTATGTCTTGTTCCGCCATATTTTTACATCATGCTAAGGGCGTAATAAGGCGTAAGCCGGCATGAGGTGATATATCATAGCATCGCACGGTGCATTGCGTAATCATGGATTTGAGGAAATACCGTAAAAATCAAAGCATTAGGGTTTTTCGATCGGACGAGTTGAATTTGTGGTATAATATTATACATTATACAACACCCTATTAAATTTTTATAACGAGGCCAAAACAGTGAAATTCAAATCCATAATTCGCGCATAATTCAAACATTTTGCGGGCTTGTTTGAACATTGTGCATGTACTTCAGGTATGTATTTGTTTTGATTTTTATTTCATTTAGTTTAATTATAGAATATTGCCATTGATATTTGGGTGTGGTATAAAACAAAGAATCAATGATTTCGCTCGTGCGATGATGTAAGAATAACTTCATTCTGCGAATTTTGTGATTGAAATATTCCATCTTTCACCTCATTAAAATATTTGTGGCATCATGGCATGGACGAAAACATTCCTTTTTTCTATACCGAGACTTAAGATTAGGAGAACTTACTTCCAACTTGAAAACGAATCTGAGCGGCGTTGCATGGAGCAAAGGATGCTCGGATAATACACATGAATTTATCATTGTTGACGACTCCTGTCACGGTCGCGCTGCAGGATAGATTTCTAAAACGAAGGTATGGGTCTTCTATACATTTGCGAAGAAGTTGATTGTTCTTATAGAATTCGACGGCTTTCATATATGATTGATCTTCTGGAAGGTTTACAAAATCAACCGAACGCCCAGCGCATGTTAAGGTGATATTGGTGCCGTTGGTCACGAATGGGTAGGGTGTGGCGTTGTACGATATAATGGTTTGAACAGCCTCTGTGAATGAAAATGATAAATTACGTAAACGTTTATCGAAGTACATTTATTAAAGCATAGCGTGAAAATGTTTTGACATGAAAAATATTTCGATCGGGAGGTTTTAACATGCGTGCAGTACTAGACAAACTGTGCACATTTTTATCTACTTGTGCATTTGGACGCTCCAGGCAATGCCAAAAATCCAGTTATCGAGACAATGATAGATATATGCAAGGAAAGATATATTACAAATTGCAACTTCTCAACTCATACCTGTATTTTGAGACTCTGAATTAGCTTATTATACGCCAGCTCAAAAATGAGGGGCTATACCTTGAAATGTTCTAAAAATATTGCTTGTTTGAATTGTTTTCGAATGACTTACTATATTCCTCGTCTTGAACTTCTTGAACACAAAGATAGCCAAGGTCTTCATACAGGGTCATAGCAAGTGGCAACAGATTAGTAATAACAAGAACAATAACGGATCCTAAAAGAAAGAATGCAATTATTAGGGAACGATTATTAATTACAGGGGGGCTTGTGCAATTGAAAAAGGATAACACAATTATACTTGAGCCCCCCCCTCCCCCCCCCTACATGTAAATAACAAAAGGCACATTCGTAATTTAAAGTTCATTTAAAGTGAAGCTACATTTAATCATACTACACTATGACAGTTGCCAACTTTCTGACAAAAACATTCGTGAGATTTTCCTGGGGGGAGGGGGCTACGAGGCACCAACCATAGTTGACGCCGAGCGAGGGAGTTTTGAAAATATGTAGTGTCTAGATCGTTGAAAATGGCATTTTCAAAGTCTTCTTCACCGTATACAAACAAATTTTGGTAGCTTTTATTTAGATAATTATACAGAACCATACTGTTGAATACCCACGAGTACGAGATTGCATGAAGTGATGTTTTGACTATTTATTTTTGGTTTAATTATAAATGGCGTGAATTTTTCAGAAAAAAACGTTTTATGTAATTTGACGCAAATGAAATCACTCTTAATTGTTAAAATGTGCAACAAAGCCAACATATTTAAGAACCAGTTGAATTATTTTCGAAATCCGTGAGATATTAAAAAGCTGTGAGCTCACCGTAAGGTTTTAGTAAAATCTGTTCATGGTGGATCCATGAGAGTTGGCAACTATGCTCTATATACATGTGTTGTAATATATATATTCTTTACATTTTATTGAGCCAACGGCTGTGGCAATGTACATGTTTATGTTGAAATCAGTTTAATAAATGGTGTTGTGTTGGAGTTTACTAGGTTTTATGGTACAACATAGGGCCAGGCATTTATATTGCCCGAAAAATGTTGCCCCTCCCCTTTTTTTCATGAACAAAAATATCTGACCCCCTCCTTTTCAGCACCTGTAACTAATGACCGGTCCCTTACATACTAGTGCGAATTGGTAAGCATTTCTGCATATGCGGTAGATAAACAAAATTGCAGCCCAGCGGTTATTTTAAACTTCTTCTGTGCAGTAAATGAAGTTTATATTTGTAAACGATAGTTTAACCTGCGGTTGTAAACAAAGTATATAGTGTAATGTTTAAATGGATTTCATTCGCTTATTTCTAACTATACAAGCGCTACTTCATCTTGCAAATTAAATTAAAGATGTTTTTAAATAGATAGACCGGTTCAGCGCGAAGTCAGCACAAAGGCCCTGGGGTCGAGGTTGATAAAAATTATAATATAATTGGAACATTGATTGTAAAACGTTTCAAAACTACATCTAATATGCTATTCTAAGAAACATAAAAGAACTGAGTGATTGTCGCTTTAATAATGATCACTATAATTAACTCTACTTTCGTGATCTATTCATTTCATTCGCAGTAGATAGTACATAAGTATTTAAAAATCTGTTTGTATTCATGTTGGGTACCATCAATACCATTCTTCTTGGTGCTGGACCATTCTTCTATAGCCTCCGTAGCAGGCGGTAGAAGCTAGAAATACCGCCTGCCCAAAAACTACACATTCTGAGTTCCGCCCACCGAACGCATGGTCCCGCCCATCTTACAGGTAATTAATGTATTTATTTGTCAAACTCACGTATTGCACCAGTGCAAATATACGGTTTGACGTTTCATATCTTCGGTTCATTCAATGCTAGGAAGACAAAAATACCACGTTCGATTCAGTGTAACAATGTGTCCTCATTCATTGCAATAGTTTTAGGCTTGTAGTCGATGCGTTATAGCGATTTATGAGCTTTGAAAGTCAAGCGAGTTCGTATATTATCAAATTACGCAATTGTCTGAACAAAAATATAGCCGAGACTAGCCATACCGATCGCCGAACATAACTTCGGCCGCTTCGGACGTAACTTCTTTGTAATAGTCTTGTTCCAATCGCTATCAAAAGCACTACTTAGAGTGTCATTTACGAGCCTGTATCTTCAAATCTGCACTTTTATCACGGTAACACATCTCTATCAAGCAACACATGTTGGATTGATATTCGTTATTCATTTTTCAAGACGATGGGATTACCGATTCCAGATAAAGATTAAAGAATTCAAGGCTTAACTCTCAATTAATACATTCGTTAGTTTTTCGTTAGTGTATGCCATCACTCGATATATCGGTATCAATTACGAAAATAACAATAGTTTAAAATACGGCAACAGTAACTTCGAAAATTAGCCCTAATTATTCTAATTCTTTAATACTCATGTCAATCAAAAATTCAAAATCAACATTCTGACCAATCAGAATGCGCCGTTACCAGCTGCTGGAGAACTCAGAATGTGTAGTTTTTGGGCAGGCGGTATTTCTAGCTTCTCATTCTCTCGTGCCCGCGAATTCCGCCTGCTACGCAGGCTAATTCTTCTATGATGCAGTGTTCCAGGAATTTCGCCCCCCCCCCCCAACACAATTTACAATTACATAATAATTGAAAATAATTTAATTGGTATGGTATTTTTGTCTATACCACCACGTCAGCTAAGGCTAAGCTATAAATTTAATATCGTGTTTATAGAAGAAATATGTTTAAGCCCCGTTTACACTACGCTCAATTTTTGCTACGGCACGGATAAAATTGGTACCCGTACCACTTTTTTGGTTCTTGGACTACCTATTTAGGTAGTCCAAGAACCAAAAAAGTGGTACGGTACCAAAAATTGAGCGTAGTGTAAACGGGGCTCAAAATATAGGTATTCCAAGACCCAAAAAAGTGGTACGGGTACCAATTTTATCCGTGCCGTACCAAAAATTGAGCGTAGTGTAAACGTGGCTTTAGTTTCAATGTTATTAAAACAGACACCGCCACCGTGGTTGTCCCTATCCATGCGAACTATATCATATCCGTCAATATTAACAAATTCATTTGGAATATCAGGGTGAAGTCTTGTTTCATTGAGTGCCAGAATATCAACAGTCTGATTTTCTAACAATAAGCGAATTTCATCAATGTGTTTCGACAAACTGACAATATTCAGTAATGCCATCTTGAAACCCCTAAGATATGGTAACCTATTCGAATACAAAATTTCCGAGTTAGTCTGACGGATGTCGCGTCAATTTAAAAAATCCATATAGTTTCTTTTCATTATCGTGCTACCTCTGCGGTTCAAGTGCAAACCTCCACGATTTAAACAATATACAGTAAATCTATGTTAGTATGATTAATAAAGTCAACATTACTACCATTTTCGAGCTTCCGTGAAGCGTGCATTTATAACTACGTTTCAAAACGTTTCTTCAGCATGAGTTTGTCAATCATAACTTTTTGTTTTGCAATAATAACTTTTGTGGGCGTGGTGTCAAGCACATTGTTTTCCACGCGAAAATTTTTTCTTATTTTTCACACGGACTAACTTTATACTGACAAAATTGCTATAGAAAGCGAAATAACAGATTTATAGCACCTTCCGGATATGTTTACGTAACAAACCTCTGTAATACAAGTGCCCTTTTGAGTTTTGATGCCGAAATTCAAAGTTTTGCGTGCAAAACAATATGTTTTATACCAAGCCCACAGAAGTTATTATGTCAAAACAAAATGTTTTAGGAGCGAAATAAAAAGTTTTGAATGACAAACTCATGCTGAAGAAACGTTTTAAAACCTAGTTATAAATGCACGCTTCACGGAAGCTCGAAAATGGTAGTATTATCTGAGCAAAATGAATTAAGTAGATTGTTTGTTTGTTTGTTTGATTAACTTTTGTTTGAATTAGATGATCATCTTTTCTGATGGTAAGAGCCGAGATGGCTACTTTGATTGATGGTAAGAGCCATGCAGATGGCGGCTTTGTCATGCTCAGCAGAACGTTAAACTAAGCATTAACACGTTTTTCAAGCAACGCGAAGCTTATTGCGACCCAAAAGGTGATACTTAAAGTCGAAATTACAGCAAACATTGCATCGCTTTAGTCAAACTTAGCAGTTTGTAATGTTAATTGAAAATCGTCAAACATTTATTACAGTAATGAAATTGCTTAGCGTTCATTTTTAGCTGAAATTCAGACCGCGTCGTTGAGCCGGCCGCGTTGTAGATCTTAAACTCTCTATTAGCGCGCTAGAGAGGTTGGGAGATAAAACTCAAGCACTATATGATAATGTTGGCCACGGCTTCCGCTTTATTTGGCCAACTCTTACGATTTTCCATTTTTCCGGCGTGCCTAATAACCCGATTGAGCGCGCCGTAACATGAAGAAATTCTTATAAATGCGATGTAGCTAAGCAGAGATCTTAAACTTTTACTACAGTGCAAAAGCAAATGAAATGTAACAAATATTGCCTTCCTGAGTAAGAAGTGGGGACACTTTAAAAGAATATAAAAGGATAAACACATGAGCACTTACGCATCCTCCAATTGCAGCCTTCCATTTCGACTTAACTTCAGGTAACCAAAATATATTAACTTCCGTTGAGAAACTAAATAAACAGTAATGGGAATTAAACAATGAGCAGTAAGTACTTTTTTTTAATATTGACTTGATTTTGCGTTGCAATGCTAATATGACTATGGGAAACAGGTTGAGACACCCGGCCATCGATGAAAGACTACGAGCTCAACTATTGAGGGGCTTCGGCGGCGTAGCGGTTAGCGCACTTGACTCCCACCTCAAAATGTCGCAGGTCTAAATCCCAGTGGGAACTTTCTCAATGCGACTCGAACCCAGTTCTCATGCGGAAAGAACAAAAGCCAACGCACTACCGAAAGTCGTGGCTTTTCTCCGGGTACCCCGGTTTCCTCCCATGCAGAGGAAAAGCTGACAGGGTGGATTAAGTAAAAGGGCCCACAGTAATTGGCATATGCTGTTGTGGTGATCCTGCGCTAGATGGCCATGCCAACCGAGCATAACTATGATCGGAACATAACTATGATCAGAACCCAGGAAATTCATGGTCCTTATCACAATATCCACATGGCTATATAGTGCACACACATCATTAACAATCTGGCTAACAGCCCGGCTATACAGGGTGTCTCAAAAAACCGCTACCCTTGGAAATTCACCATTGTTCTAATTTGAATGCCTGAATTTAAGACAATAAATACTCTTTGTTCTGTGCTCAGTTGAGCCATTTGCTTGACATTCACTAATATGTAATTGAACGATTTCGTGTTGTTATACTTTTGTTTGAACCTACTTTCAATTCCCAGGATAAACAATTTCGCTTTTCAAGGATATTTTAATTCCGAAGATCTTTAATATATGCATCCTGTGAAAATGTTTACGCATTCATGACTTCAACAAGGTTCAGGCATTCAAATTAGAACAATGGTGAATTTCTAAGGGTAACGGTTTTTTTGAGACACCCTGTATAGCAGTTAATTACCTTTCATACCGTCTAACTGAATTAGTGCTATGGTTTTATTATCATATATGCATGGCGATCTCAGCACTAAACGCAAAAGGAATCAAATGTACGCAAATAGCAATTACCAAAATGACAAAATGCAAAACATATGGGATTAAAGATGAATTGAAATATAGGCCTATGGGATGGGGATACATTTTCGCAAAAATTTACAGTTTTTCTGTTTGTGAGTTTTCGGTACACATGACATACAGTAGGCATATAAATAAGGCGTATTATTACTGAGTTTGCTTTCAAAATATTCACTTAGTCTGCGACTTTTTGTTTGGAAAGTTCAAAATTCTTTGCAACTCATTCATGAATGCTTTAAAAGCGGTATTATTTTGGTTGCTATACCCAACTTCGCGACTTTGGATTCCGAATTAAATTGCACCGTATTAGAAAGCTTCTATTTCCCTTCGATTTTCACGCGATGCACACTCTTTTCTTGTATAACCTCCATGAGCAAGGCTGTACTAGCACTCTATGCGTGCTTATAGCTCATCTTGACGGATAATACAATTAACGGTCCGTTTCCCGCATTTCTACTTAACAATGAGTTTGACTAATGGTCGCGGGTCGCGTGTCGCGGGTAAAAAGTCGCGGGTCGCGGGTAAAATGTCGCGGGTCGCGAGTAAAAAGTCGCGGGTCGTAAAAAGCTCTAAACCGTGTATTTTATTGAGTCGCGGGTTGAATAAAGTGTGTAAAAATCACATTAACATATTTTTTATCAATACTTGTTCGAAGATGTTATGGTAGCCTGTGTACAGCCGTAAATTCTCCCGTAATTAACTTACGGGAGAATTTACGGCTGTACACAGGCTAATGTTATGGCTGCAATTGCGAGTTTCTAGATAAATATATATATATATATATATATATATATATATATATATATATATATATATATATATATATATGACGAAAAATGCTAAAATTGCAGCTAGGATTCATATTTATATATTAAAAGATTAAAAGTTTCTTGTCACTAGCTATGTAAAAAACGTAATCACGTTTAAAAAAGTTTTTACAAGACGTTTCGATCAGAAACCTCCGATCTTCGTCAGTTGATATTAAAAACTAAGAAGCCAATAAACAGGCCTCTATTTATACGGTTCGTTAGCTATTAATTTGGATGCATCAGTGACCCATAAACGTCTGGAATGTCAATATGGTTATTGCCAGAACGTTTGTCCACTTGGGAATACCAAGCCTCAAGGAACAATCGTTTGCGATCATTTTTCTCTCTACTAACTATTTCGGCGTTTTCAAAGTCCATATTATATGGTCATATTGCTCAACGTGTTGGGCTATCTTGGAATTCTTATCATTATATTCAACAGCTCTTTTATGTTCTTTTCTTCTTGTTTTCAATGCTCGGTTGGTTTGACCATAATAAGTAAAATCACAAGCAGAACATTCAATTTTATAAACGATGTCCCTTGTACGGTTGGTGTCTAGCTTTATCTTTTGGCTTTGAAAATTCTTGCTGTAATGTGCGAGTTGGTTGGGATGAAACACGAATTTTTCACGTTGTAATGTTCTTGTAATT